ATCACTGGCCACAAGTTTTGACTAAGCCAATTGGTGGTCTAGCTAATAAAATTCAAGAGCCAGGAAACAATACTCCCTATCATACTGGGAAGTGCAGACGCGGCTTTTCCAGCAAGCTTTCCCAGTGCTTCTCCTAATGCTTTTAAATGCTTTTTTATCCACTCTTTTACACTATCCGGCCTTGGTAGCATGGGTGGTGTGGGTGTCCACCTCAACCGGTTAACGCGAGAGTCAAAGTCGATATAATAAATCCCAATGCGGTTAAAATACTGGCAATGGTTATCCCCTGTTCTCTGAACAATGTTTTAATTTTATCGGCCAGTGTAGTATCATCGTTGAGGACTTGATCGATAGTTTCTCGAATTCGACTGATTTGGGAACGAAGTGCCTCTCTATTAGTGGAAGCCGCTTCGAGGTGGGCCGATCTTTCGTCTTCTAAGTTACGCAATCTTTCCAACTAATGGTATATATCTTAACTCTTTCAACACCAGTCAACCAGAAGTGTTTACTGCTGGGACACTGGAGTTCCCAGAGACTCTTGTGTGATAGATGAAGCCAACATTTATCAAAGAAAATATCTGCTTGTAAAATATATTTGCGACCATTTGAAAGGTCTGATCCTATGGTTTCTAAATATGAAAGTTATGTTTCTCACATTATTTAAAATAATGCATTTACAACTTAATTAAGTTTGTTGGAAATAAAAAATGTAAGATAACACGTCGTTAACATCCAGATTAAGGACCAAGGAAGCGAAAACTTGACGATTTTCAGCAAATATAAGATTTCATAAAATCCACTTACCTATTTCTGTTTTATTTTCATTGTTTACGATATTGGAAAATCATTTTAAAAAGAATTATAAATAGTTTCTGTCATCACCCATTTCCCAAAAACAGCGGCTGTCCGCTCAGTAACATGAATAAATACCCACGTTTTCGAGGCTTCGTATGAATAACACGTTCATCGAAGAATGGCATATGACACATCGCTGGAAAGTTTATTCCTTCATCTACACGGTCTTAACATCGCCTGTTTTTTTTTAATAGTTATAACAAGCGATTTCATTGGATTAAAATTGGGTTTCTAATGACGCTTTCTTGCCAAAATCTGCTACAAGTTTCGTGATTAGTCAATTTTGAGCACGTGACCTAAGGCAGCCAATCAAATTACAGCTGTGATACCAAGCTCATGTTTGATAAATTTTAGAAGTTTGCGAAAGATTTTTGTTAAATCGTGTTATTCTGAACGTTTTAAGCAGGAAATCACGATATATATTAAAAATATGGAACTTCGTGAATGTATCGTGCTAGGTTACGAGCTGTGACAAAGATTTTCCATGCATATATTTTTGCATTAAACATCGTGTCCGAGCCGAGAATTCAAGGCGACGAAAGCCGAGATGTCATTTGACTTACATTACACGTGATCGCAAGAAAAGATGGAAATAATAACTTAGATGTAAGTTTCATTCCTTTCAGATATATTTTTGTTGATTTCATTTATTACTTTGTATAATATAATTAAAGATTTGTTTTTGTCTTTATTTTGGTCTTTGCTATGTTCGATGTGGACCCGTTGTCGAAATGTGTGTCCGAGAATTTTATTTTCAATAACATCGCGGAATAGTGAATAATTTTTTAATTTATCGATAAAAAATGATGAATTGAAATGGAATACGTATTTCAGACATTGTGAAATGTGATAGATTTAATAAATGAATGATATTACAGGTAGGTCCATAAAAATATATACTATTTTGACGTGACTACGGCTTGACTGGAAAATGGGCCTACGGTGTCTGGGGACTCGATGCTTCTTGGCCGGAAAACCAGCCTACGGTGTTGAAAGAGTTAAGGGACCAAATTGGATCGGTTGTGCGACATAGGCCTCCTTCGAGTTCAACTGGTATAAATATCTTACGCTTACTCTATCCAGAAGTTTTTGTTCTTTGCCTCTCCTGAAGATTCGGAAGTCACAGATTTCATTTTAATCGAATTGGATGGTTTCTTCCCGATTAATCTTGTTTCTTCATTATTCAGCCCTGATACAACAGCTGATAATAGTGTCACCCATTCGGTTGATCTTAATCGATTTCATTTCATTTCAATCCCATACTGATATCCAAACAAATGTTCCGCTAATGTCCGGTTAAATCTTTCAACAACAGCTTGACCATGGTGGGCCTCTTTTTCACAAAACCTGATTGTGACATCGTGCTTTGTTAACAGTTCAGTTACTGATCCCATAAACTCGCAACTAGGATCTACTTGAAATAACTTGGGCCATTTTAGTGGTCCGTGTTTATATATCCGGCTCAGTGCATTAGCTACTTCTGTTGAATCTTTCGAGGTTAATGGTTCAGCCTCTTTGTAGCGACTAGCCACATCCACTACGGTTAAAGCGTATTTATATGTTTTGCGTCTTACCTTATCATAGGGAAGAAACAAGAGGTCAGCCTGATGAACTTCATTTGTTGTAAAAATGTCAAACTTCTTCCTCGGGATATAATGTGGTGCCGGTAAGTATATTTGCCACATCGCTTGTTTCTTAAGCCAATCCTTGGCCACATCTTTAGATACCTTAGCTGCAGTGGCTAACTTTTGTATTGCTCCTTTACCTTTCAAATATCCTCGTGGGATATAGTAAATTAAATCCATTATTAATTAATATTGATGATCCTTTAATACAAATCATGGCGATCGTTGAATCGCATCATCATTTTGGCATAAAAAATTCCCTCTGTAGTAGCAGTATTGGGTATAAATCTGGCTCCAGTGGAAGTGAGCCAGAATCCCCATTACCTATACTACTCGGCCCCATGAGTCGGTCTGATGATTGTTGATTGATCAGTTGTTGTTATGAGTCCCAGGTCTTATAGGTGGTCGTCTGTTGGGGTGTGCCACATTGGGACACAGTTCTGTGTTGTGGGTTATGCTATGGCAAGCATTACAAGCACGAGATGGAAGCCAGATGAAACTCTTGTCCATAGTCTCTGATCGAGTATATCCCACCTAATGCTGGTACCTTCCTCAGAAAAGGCTGCCACTCTTGCCGTGAACAACCTGTGGTAATCATAGTCGGCTGTCCTACCATACTGAATGGCCAAATCAATCACTGTCTGTTCATGGCCGTCCAGTTGACGTCGTTTCTCTGCATTGCCAGCACAGTATATATCCTTGTGATATACCAAATGCCTTGATAAATTCTCCAAGTGTAAATGAGCGATTAATCCTATGTTCATCACGTAAGTTGAAAGTCTGTCAATCAAAATCTGACACTGTCTAAATTGTCCTGAAGAAGCAAGGCTAAATTGACATATTTACCTTGTTGTACCCTCCTTTTAGAGTGGATGAAATGTGTGTATGTGTGGCAGTGAATCAGAGGCCACATCCCTGTTTAGCTGTCTGGGAACATCACTACTTGCTTCTGTGGCTTGTCTTGACTCCTCTCTGGGGTTGTCATTGTCACTGGTGGTGGTAAATGTACATGTAGGAGGTTGTAATTGTTGTCCCAAGTTCATGACTATAGACTTCAATTCGGCAATCTCCCAAACACTGTCACTGTATTTTCTGTGGCACTAGCAAAATTTATCAGAGCAAAATCCTGTGAATTGTCTCTCTGAAGTGGCACATCACTGCCTTGATCTTGACTGACTGGAGCTGGTTGAGAGATAGTAGCGGTGGTGACCGTGTTGTTGGTGCCTGTCATCACCCTCAGATTTTCATGTAGATCTGCATTAATGTCCGTCTGGACCAGAAAGTGGGCACATTGACACCCATGTCTGTCAGGCGTGTCGAATATCAGCTGCTGTCAAATATGGAGAACTTCTGTTTACATTCCTGAGAGAGGAAACTGGGCTAGACGCTTCATTACAATCGTCGCCATTGTTGTTTTCATGCAGGTCAGAGGTCGTATCCTGGTTAACCCTTCGTGTTGATTGAGATCTGGCTTTAGATCGTTGTCTGTCAGCCATTGTTACGATAGCAACAAACAGTTGTACCGCATAACACGTACAACAGGATGGCAAAGGATTGTTGTAGATTTTCCTTGGATGACCGTGATTCGTAATGACAGCTGAGAGAACAATGGAAACAAGCTAAACGACACTGAGCCTCTTGTTGTTAATATAGATAAACAAAATGACGTCACATCCACATGCTCTGTAGAAAAAATATTGCATTCTGGGATAGAAAGAAGTAACTTGATACAGAGAAGAAATGTGATCGTTCACGGACGATTCTGAATGATAAATGACAACTGGAAATAAAGGGGAAAACCTCACGTAGGTGACAAATATATACATCGATGTTAATAATAGGTGAAAGGCTATGTTGATCACTGCACAAACAAAAATATAAAATTAACATAAGTTTGCCCTACTCCCATGTGTAGTGTAATAAAGTATAGTTTTGCCCTGAAACATTAAATTGTCAAAGCGTCCTTGTGCTTTAACTATTATAGTTCAGGGAAAAATTACATTTTGTTAGACTACACATGGGGGTAGAGCAAACTTCATTTCTTAAATAGATCTTGATTATCGATCTGAACGTCTTGATTGGCCCCATCATCATGTTTGAAGCAAATGCACATGATGTGAGAGGAGGAATCTTATTCGTCAATAGGTGGGACATAGAAATGACATAACTCATAATAGCCATTGGTGGCACTACGATTGAGCCCAGTAATTCCCGCCTAGTTCGCCAAGGGTGGAAACTGGACTTTTACAGTCAGTTAATGGCTTAAAGCATCATACATACTGCCCTCCTCTTCATCTGATATCATTTTTTTAAATTTTGGTCTAAGAAAACAGAGGGCTTTGAACCTGAAAGTCACATAACTTTAAAAAGAAAAATGATATAAAATTTGAGTATTCTGACATCAGTTATGGTGTGTGAAAACTCATGTCTAATCCCCAGTGGTGTTGAGGAGGCTTTCACCTTTTGTAATTGCCTGGGTGAGAGAAAAAAACAAGTGATCAGATTAACCTCAGTACAAACCTGATGAGCTTTTGTTGACTTGGAGATTCTTCAGATTTTCATCTGTTGTGTTTTCCTTGTTATCATCTTCATCCCGGTATTCATCATCGAAAGCCAGAAGTCTGTGTGGGAGAGAACAGTACATATTACATATCTGGTCGCTACATACAGAAACATGTTCTACTACTTTTGTAATGTTATGTATCGTTCAACATTTACACCAACAGAAATGCTATTCTTTGAACACTTGCAATGTAAGCCGCATCATTGCATGTTGTTGTCCATGAATACCAGTCTGAAACTGCCTGCTGAGTGTCATTAGCTGCAATGTAACATTTATACCCACACTTGTATCTGTCAATCTGTCAATATCCCTACAGTTTTGAACACACACACCTCACCAAGTAGTTATGCAAATTAGTGTGATGAGTAATGATTTGGAAGGACACAGGAATTAGATTTCAAGGAAATTCTTATACATATTTCTGCCCTCTGACAGCTAATAAACAATTCATAAACAGAATATATATCTGCAATTTCATGACAATATCCAAAACATATTGACAGAACATGAAAAAGACCCTAATAAACATTTCAATTACCTTGATCTGTTTATGATTTGACAGTATATGACTTCCACTTCACCTTAATCATTAGAATTTCCAGAGTAGCTACAAAGTCTCATTTTGTCAAACAGCATCAGTAGAAATGTAGCTGGCATTCACTGATACCACTTTTCCTCATGCCCTTTACGATGTGTTTTACAGAACAAGTTTTTGTAAAATATCAGGTCTAGTGCCTGCTTATAACACAGTATCAGAAAAGACAAAGACATATCCCTATGATGATAACAACCTTAGTGTCAGTGAGTGAGAAAATTTTAAGTCACATCAAAAATATTTCAGTCATACAAGATATTTCATGGACTTCATATCACATAAAATCCTATCAATGAAAAACAGTAAGGCAACCAGAAACATATCCAGAATTTCATCTAACATTCACAGGATTAACTGTCAAACAATGACACAATTTAAAATAAGGTCACCTTATAGAGACCATGGGGACCTGCATGGTCCCTCTGCAGCATAGACACTGTCCTTAAGCTGCTGGCAATTGTCAGTAAATTATGCCACAAATGAACATGAACAAATAATGACACAAGATTGTCTACACGATGACTCTTCTGAATATGTAGTGCGGCTAAGTCGTTATCAAATATCTTGCTTCTGTTAAAAGCCGGACTGGCTATAAGTTTCCTGAGTCTTTCTTCCTCATTAGATCTGACTAATTTAACATCAACACGCTTCCTTAGATTCTCCATAGTTTAACCAAATACTGAGTTATTCTTGAGCTTATATAGGTTCTTTTCGAAATTGCTGGTAGCTATCTTTCTTAAATCTGTGTTCAGTCTTATATAGGGCTCCATCCAAGGGCTTTGATCAAACTTAAGAACTCTGTGTATTTACTTTACTTTCATGCCTAACGATAGATATAACTAGAGATTTCTATAGTGAACTGTATATTTTGTCTTATCCATCAAATTTGCTACGAGTTTTTCTTCATTAGCTAACCTAGTATTACCCATCAAGGAGTGTTGATATTCCAACATCCAATCTTTATTAACCATTAATCTTTCTGGAGCTAGTGGATAACTGTTATGATCTTTATGTAACTCTGTTGGATATTCCAAGTCAACTTCTAGTATGTACCCTTTATTCGCATCGACCTTGTGAATATCATTCACATCGACCCACTCAAAACCACCCTTGGGTAAAGGTTGACTCATAGCCCATCCGTACAAATTGTTAGCGTCGAGATATAATATGTGCGTATCGGGTTTACTTGGATCATATCCTTCCACTAATTTATTATTACCGGTAGCCTTAGAATACCTTTTCGCTACCATCGATATACCACCTCTTAATCCTTTCTCAATAAACAAGTGCATATCGTAAACTGTGAGTAATTTTAGTTCTACACTGGTCTTCGTCAACAATGCATCCCATGATAGTCGGGGACTGGAATAGTACCATGCCAGGTCCAAGCCGTATTGTTTTAAACATGTCTTTCTAAATATCTCGCATATATCGGCGAGTAACAGTACATCGGTTTATAAGTACAGATCGTGATAATCACCTAAATTCTTACAACCTAATTTATCCCACACCGTCAGAGCGTGTTCATAATCAGCATCGATTATTTTTTATTCTGTTAAGTTACTATAGAATAATTCAAGGGGTGGCAATTTAGTTTCATCGAAATCTAGACCAATCATCCATATATCCGTAAGGATATACACCTTTTCTCAGCAACAAATGCCGTGTTGACCGATCAGTATATTGATTCGTTATTGCAAAGTCATCGGGATTGTTCGCATTAGCTAAATTGTCCAAGGAAGATAACAGAAACTGTACAGAGTCTATGAATCTAAGCCCATTACTTTGCTTTATTCTGGCTTTCCCATCCTTGTCCGTATAATGGATAGTTTTAGTCAACAAGAATGATATATATTTTTCCATATTATTAGGAATACATGTTAAGCCGCCGTCGGTCTTTGAGATAGCTTGCATGATGAGATGTGAATCGTATCCTCTAAGGTTATGAAACATAACGGGGATGGGTATTGTTTGAGAATTCGTTTTTAGTTTCAAGTTACACTCGTTATGCGCCGCTCACCGATAATTACCCATGACGTGGCAACGTTCTCTTACAGAATCCCCATTCAGAGGTTTATTACAAACATGACAACTAGTTGACTTCTTATAGGCCCTCCAATCATCCCTCATCATACACATGGGTTTCTTACACGATAAATTTTCCCTGATTATTCTCTCTTCATTTTGTAGATATTCTAGTAACTTTCCCGCTGCATTGGGACCTCTGTAAATCACGGGCGGGTTTGTTTTCCCATCATACCTTACAACTGTATATCCAAACCCACAAGGAATATGTTCTTGAGTTTTGTACGTAAAACTATCTTCAGTATTGTGTTCTGTGGCTTCTATAGGTTTGATAAGCGCTTCGAAGTCGGCGTAAATTACGTATGGTACTGGCATTTGATTACAATAATGTTCAAATTTTAATATATTTTTCCCCTCTTTAGGCATATCGATCCTGATAGCAGTCTGTCCAACACCTCTGCAGTCTTCTTATTGTGCTTCTAATAGATCTTGTCTGCTGTACCAAAGCAGGCATCTTTTCACAGAAATATTTCTTTTCTTTAAGGGTTGTTTGATCATATAATAGTCTGCTTAAACTCTTTATCAATGTATAATGATATTTGTCATCTTTTTCGATTAGAAAAAAATTAATTCTGGGAATATGTTCCGGAGTGGAGCTTATCCTGTGTACAACAATTCCTTTAGAAGAATGTCTGAAAACATTTATAGCTAAATTATTTTGCTTTTCCGCCTTATCAATTTGTGAGATTGGTGTAGGTTCGTCTATACCATCAAGGTTTAGTCCATCGTTTTGGGGATAGCTAGAAGACCTATCCGGATTTTTGTCTATGGGGAACAATGCAGATCCCATCATCATTCTGAAACAGTCATCACCTTTATTTTTTACATTAATTATGGCTTTTTTCTTTTTATAATACGAGGGTAAATCTATATGAGATCCACCTTTGAAAGGCATATAATTTGCTATATCTAAATATAAACTATCGATTTTATCCACACCCCAACCCGAACCTCTATTAGTCCAGTGTTCTAAAGTTTCTTGTATCCGCTGAATTGATGTATCTAATGATGAGCTTATAGACTCAGATTCGGTTATAACTTCTTGATTGCTCCGGAAATAAGGTTTGGTATATTCAGTGCTATCGTCTGCGTTACTTTTACTCAATAACATTTTAACTGTCAGCTGGTATTTTATACTATTTAAATCATCTATTTCCTTGTTAATTTTGCTCGACACAATGGGCTTAACATCATTAACATCCATGTTGGAGTTAATATCCATCTTCCAACCTCTTAGATATTTACCAACGCCAGTTCTGGGTACAAATTTTAACTCATCAACTGGTTGATTATTTTATTCAACATCATCGGGTTGATTATTATCTAGTAAATCGATCAATTGAGCTTTTCTCATTCGAGAATAACCTCTCTGCCCACTGTTTTTCGCTTGAGCTTTGAGTTCTCTAACAGTCTGGGGTTTGTTGTATTCTAAACCGAGTAAATCAATCAATTCAGCTTTTCTCATTCGAGAATATCCACGTAGACCACGTTGCTTTGCCAAAGCTTTCAGCTCTCTGACAACATAAATCATTGTGATATATAAATACATGTGAACTAATCTCTAATTGGTTTGAATTCTACCCAATCTATTTATCTCATTTCGGTAAGCCTTTTTCCTCTCATAAATACTTTGAAACTGTTTCTTGTCAGCACCGTGTTTCTTACATAAACAGTAACTACCTTTGACCCCAATCCCACATACAGAACACGAATAATTAATATGCCCTTTTCTAATTGCAATGGAATGGATTCCACAAAAATCCGCCATACAGATCTTTCCACAAATTTGTGATTGGCCCATGCGTATGAATTTACATCTTGCTGTGCCTATCGCCATTGTGATAAATATACACTTCTAGTATCATTTGTCTAAATGCATGTCATCAGCGGAGTCCTGGCCAGCCTAACATAAGCAGTCAGCCAGTCATCGCTATTTATAGCTGAGTAGTCATCGCTAATTATAGATTAGCCGTCAGGGTTTCTACAATCTGTTTGACTCCAAATGAGAACGATGTATTGCAAAATAACTCGAAATCCAGAAAAGTGTATGAAACATCAATACGGTACTTGACCATGAATACCCTGTACCCAACAAAATCTGAATTTTGTTTATTTTTAGACCCATGACAGATGAAGTTCTTTAAGAAACTATCATGTAATTTTGTATAGAAATGTGTACATGACACGTAGGGGGGACAAACCGTGGAAGGCACAGCGCAAGCACGCATGCACTGCACGTTCTGTGGTAGGGGAAATGACAGAGCGTTAGAGGGGCCGTCTCATGATAATTTCAGTCGAAATCTGACTCGCTCATGCCATAGATCTCGTCGTCGGAACTGCTGGTGCCACTGCCGACCGCCACTATTATAGGTTGGACT